GTCGATTTCACCACATCTAGATGCCTAAATGCATTGAGTTGCTGCCATGTGATTGGCTGATTTTACATACATGCCTAACAATTAGCAATTTGTATTACCAAGCAACTGAACAGGTGTACCTAATAAAGTAGCCGGTGAGTGTATATTGCTAAGTGGGGCATTAGCAGCATAAAGCCATTCAAATGTTGTTGGGTGTCAGGGTAGGAGCGATAGAATGGGCAGGCAGGCCTATGGTAAGGTCACCCAGCGACTGACGACAGCCACTACCCACAGACCAGAGTCCCTCAGGGTGCGGAGTCTAAGCCCCAGGCTGCCCTTCACCAGGGCCCCTGATGGTGGGGATGGACTTGACGCAGCCTGAGACCAGGTCGCGGCCCCCGAGTAACCCCAGCTGTGGTAACGACTAGTAACCCCAGCTGCTGTAACGACTGCCGCCAATGGCGTACAGCTGGTGGGAAAATGTGTAGCGTGGTCAGACAGGCCAGGTCTATAACAACAGAGCAGACGGTACAAGACGGTAGGTAGAGAATACTCAGGTCACTGGCCAGGTTCAGCAACGAGAGGTCAGGTAAAGGGTTAAAGCAGAGAATAGTCTTGTCCAAGCCGAGTCGGTTACCAGGAGAGCAATGAGAACAGAACAAGAGCTTGCTGCAAAGGAACATACAGGACACGAATGCAAAGAGCAAGTGCAGACAACAGGCTTAAATGTGATCAACCACACCCCTCTGGGGGATGGAACACACAGGCCTGAAAGCATAAAAGGCTCCCACCATGCTTTGCAGAAACCCAAGATGGATGCCAGCACATGGAGCAGCATAACCTCTGGGGAAAGGTAGGACCTTGACATTGGATGAGTGTGAATAATGGGTGAATAGTAGACACTTGTGTTGCAAAGAAATGGTCCAACTACATGTATCACCATTCATCCATGGCAAACCTTCCATACTTCTCTATTAGAGTTTCCAAAGATATCGGCTTATGATCGCGATGGAATTTACCAAAGTGTACTTCCCCATATATGACCCAAGTCTAGAAAAAGTTGAGGCATTCACCAGGCATAACTGGAACAGTTGTATCCAAGCCACTATCTCCAACAAGTTCAGTGTCAGCCAGGAAGCCAAGCTACTCAGTCTATAGGTCTCTGCAGACCTCCATTCTTCAATCTGTATAGGAAAAATGCTGGTGCTTCATTATGGCTGCTAAAACATATGTTCTTTATTAATGAAGGTGAAAAACAACAATACAAATCCAACATCTTTTTACATTCAGGCCTTAGTCATGGCCTTGACCAGCGGGCCAATGTTGAGTCTTCTCACATATATTTAAATCATAATTTTCTTGCTAGAAAATTACTTAGAACCCCCAAATGATTTATTTCTTAAGCATAGGCTCTGGTTGTTGCAATTATTTATGTCACACAGTATTTGAGCAGTGGCTTTTCAAACACAATTTAAAAAAAAAAAAATACACTTTAGTGAATTTTAATTCACAAAAACACAATATAACACCCACTTAAAATATATATAGATAAAATAGATACAAATATAAAAGATAACGATACACTGAGTATAATTAGATACCAAAAATTTTCACTCTTTAAAATTGCACACGCTCATGGAATGCAGCAAACTATGGTACTGAAAAACCTCCATAGACAACTCTTTAAAAAGCCTTTACAGGTTACAGTTTTAGAACTCCAGAGGAGATCGGGTCCTAGAATTATTGCTCTCACTATAATATTCACATCAATAGCTCACACGTATGCTGTGAATGCCGTTTACATATGCATGCGCAACCTATGTATGTATTCGCATACATAGGACAGGAGCGCTTTTTATTTTTTTTTATTTTTATTTCATTCACATTTTTTATTTTTACACTCTCTATTTATTTATTTATTTACAACATCCCTTGTGATAGCTGAAGCACTGACAGGTTCTCTGTATACAAAGTGTTTTAGACCCCAGATCTCTCCTCTGCCCTTCAAACCATCAGATGAAACCCAGATTGGCTTCATCTGATGCTTTCACAGGCTGGTAACAGTAGGTCAGGAAAGCCTAGAAAGGCGGCGAGGGTGGGGTGGGTTTGGTGCCTTCTGCCGCATGTAAATTCAAGCCAGCAGCTAATTTGCAGCTCAGATCACTTTTACATTGTTCAGCATTATTGGCTGAGAAAAAAAATGATCAGGGTCATGACTGTAGCTACAACCATGGCCTCAGTATATCCACTTAATCCCAAAAACATACAGGTACTTTGCTTGGTGGTAGGGGCATATTTACTGTGAGGCAAACAAGGAATTTTCATATGGAAGTATATTTCGGGGGGGGGGGGCGGTGATATCTCTGAGGCCAGTGACTGAGCTGCATCTCTGAGTGGGAGGTGATGAATCGAGCAGAGGAAGACCATGCCAGGCAGGAGGGCATTAGTGGCTATTGCAGGGTGTGCATAGGTTCCCATAGGTTTGACATGGCCCACCCATCCCATCTTTGTGGACACTCCCTGGGTATGTGTTGGGGATGAGGAGCACAGGATAGGATGATTCTTGACAGACCAACTGATTTTCAGTGAGGGTGGATGCCTCTTTGTCCTTCCTTTGTGCCATTTCCTAACAGAATGATTCCCATCTAAGCATTCAATACTGTTATGTTCCAGAACACTATTTACTCCATTAGCTACAATTTAGACGGGGGAGGGCACCCAATTTACATTAAAATACACCAATTAACCAAAATACACCACTGCTTGGTGGCAAGTGGTTAATGGCGGCACCACTGGTGTTCACATGTAACCACTCATCTAATTGGCTCCATGGGATCAGGTACTCTGACCAGCCCTTGACACCTACTGCTTGAATCCAGGGTTGGTGGAACTGGCACAGCAGTCCAGCCACCCTTTCACCCCAGGGACAGGGGAACAAAGAAGGTACGTATGTGCAGCTGGTGAAGCAGCCATTAAAGATAAGCATAGCTCAGGTTCGCTCTAAAACAAAATCATGGCCAGGTTATGAAAATTCAGTCATGCACATATTCTTAATGAGCAGTAAAAATGCTTTCAAACAGGACCTTAACGACCTCTGGAGCTGCCAGTAATGTGAACCAATTAAAGCTGAACTCCAGCAATACTGAAAAAGAAATTCTGTATAGCAGCAGTTCAGCTTAGAAGTGTACAGTATGTCCTGCTAAGTAATTCAGCAGGGCTCGGGGTGGCTGGTAGAAGGTCTTTCTACTTCCATCTATTACGTGGGATATACTAAGATATTGGAGCAGGTGATACAATTGCCATTTTTCGTGTTTGCGAACAACACTCTTTTGACCTACTGTACCTACAATTTTCAGGATCACAGCGGTTGATGAGAGCACTTTCAGTTTGGTAGAGGTGCACAAGGTGAACAGGATTTGGATATCTCTATCATTGCAGGACATGTTTTTGAAAATTTGGATTTGTGAGCTTTTCATTAATTTTCTATGACACCTACATAGTGGTGGTGGGATGGTCTGGGGCTGTTTTGCAGCTTCAGGACCTGGATGACTTGCCATAATTGATGGAACCATGAATTCTGTGCTCTACCAGAAAATCCTGAAGGAGAAGGTCCAGCCAACAGTTCATTCCCTCAAGCTCAAGCGCACTTGAGCTATGCAGCAGGACAACGATCCGAAACACACCAGCAAGTCCATTTCTGAAAAACCAAACAAACAAAAATAAGGTTTTGGAGAGGCCTAGTCAAAGTCCAGACTTGAACCTGATTGGCATGCTCATTTTTGAAAACCCTCAAGAGTGGCTGCAATAAAACAATTCTGCAAAGAAGTGTGGGACAAAATTCCTCCTTGCCAATTACAGCAAAAGCTTGATTGCAGTTGTTGCTGCAAAGGGTGACACAACCAGTTATTAGGTGTAGGGGGCAATTACTTTTTCACATAGGGCCAAGCAGGTTTGGACAGCTTTTTCCCTTAACCCCCCTGGCGGTATCCCCGAGTGTAGCTCAGGGTTAACTTTCAGTACCAGAAGCGGTAACCCCGAGCTAAACTCGGGAATACACTGCAGCGTTGCTCAGGGATCCCTGTTTCCCTTACCTTGTCCTGCGCTCCTGCAATGTCCACCCTGCAGCATCCCCGGCCATCTCCTCCGGCCGATGCCGGCATCTGTCTTCTTAATTCCGGTCCCTGCGAGCGTCGGAACATACGGGATGCACAGGGAATGGAACTGGCGGGAAATTAAAAAATTTTTAAATTTGACATTCACTAAATACACTAAAATCTGATAGTATTACATTCCTGTATCAAACCATTTCACATACATTTTGTCCCGAGTGCTTTGTCCGGCGCCCTGCCTGCATTTTTACTGTTCTTTCTGCCTGGAAACTGAGAAACGTCCATGGCGTCCAAAAAGCGTCCCTTTAGGTCAAAAGCGGTTTTAGACCGGCTAGAGAACAGCGATAGTAAATCAGAACCACTTGCAGAATTGAGTGATAATGATTTGTGGGGGAAATTCATCATCAGACACTGAAAACAATTTTGCGACTGAGCTCAGCGATGTGCGAACTTGGCGCTCTATTTCAAATTGCAGTGTTTTTGGTTTCATGACATTATTGAATTACATTTATTATAAATATTATTATCTCCTAGATTGTAAGCTCCCAGGATCAGGGCCCTCCTTTCCCTCTTGTATTGAACTGTATTGTTGCTGTATTATCTCCCGTAATATTGTAAAGTGCTGAGCAAACTGTTGGAGCTATAAATCCTGTAGAATAATAATAATTATATTATTATTTTTATGATTATTTATTATATTATAATTTATGATTTCATGTTTCAAGTTTTATTATCCCCGGGATGTTTACAAGATTCTTGTTCGGACAGATTTCAGTGAGTTATTCCTAAGAATTACAGGCCTACAATAAAAAAAAACAACACATTTCCATTGAAAACAATGTACCGCTTTGAGCAGAGAAATACTGACATAACCCCCCTGGCGGTATTCCTGAGTGTAGTTCAGGGTAAAGTTTCAGTACCAAAAGCGGTAACCCCGAGCTACACTCGGGAATACCCTGCAGCGTTGCACAGAGATTCCCTGCAGCGCTTACCTTGTCCTTGCCTCCCGCGATGCTTCCTCTGCAGCGTCCCCGGCCATCTCCTCCGGCATCCAGCTTCCGTGTTCCGGTCCCTGTGACGTCGGGACGTACGGGCGCCGGAACCGGCGGCAAATTTGAAAATTTAAAAAAAATGAAGTTTTTTTTAAAATGATTATTACATAGTAAAACATTCCTGTTTCAAACCATTTCACATACATTGTGTCCCGAGTGCTTTGTCCGGCGCCCTGTCTGCATTTTTACTGTTCTTTCTGCCTGGAAACTGAGAAACGTCCACGGCGTCCAAAAAGCGTCCCTTTAGGTCAAAATCGGTTTTAGACCGGCTAGAGAACAGCGATAGTAAATCAGAACCACTTGCAGAATTGAGTGATAAGGATTCGTGGGGGAAATTCCTCATCAGACACTGAAAACGATTTTGCGACTTTGCTCAGCGATGTGCGAACTTGGCGCTCTATTTCACATTTCAGTGTTATTGGTTTGATGACATTATTGAATTAAATTTATTATAAATATTATTATCTCCTAGATTGTAAGCTCCAAGGATCAGGGCCCTCCTTTCCCTTTTGTATTGAACTGTATTGTTGCTGTATTGTCTCCCGTTATATTGTAAAGCGCTGAGCAAACTGTTGGCGCCATATAAATCCTGTATAATAATAATAATAATATTATTATTATAATTATAATATTATTATTTTTTATGATTATTTATTATATTATAATTAATGATTTCGTGTTTCAAATTTTATCCTCCCCGGGATGTTTACTAGACTCTTGTTCAGACAGATTTCAGTGAGTTATTCCTAAAAATTACAGGCCTACAATAAAAAAACAACAGAAAACAGAATTGAGTGATAATGATTCGTGGGGGAAATTCGTCATCATTCGACACTGAAAACGATTCTGCAACGTTGCTCAGCGATGTGCGAACTTGGCGCTATATTTCAAATTTCAGTGTTTTTGGTTTGATTATATTATTGAATTAAATGTATTAATATTATTATATTATTATTTTTATGATTATTTATTATATTATAATTTTATGATTTCGTGTTTCAAATTTTATATCCTACCCGGGATGTTTACTAGACTCTTGTTCGGACAGATTTCAGTGAGTTATTCCTAAAAATTACAGACCTACAATAAAAAAACAACATATTTCCATTGAAAACAATGTACTGCTTTGAGCACAGAAAGAATGACATAATCAGACCGCTAGGGAGGTTAATAAATTAAATCATCATTAAAAATAATTTATTTACACAGGTTATCTTTGGGAAATATTAAAATTTGTTTGATGATCTGAATCATTTAAGTGTTACAAATATGCAAAAAAAAAAAAAAAAAATCAGGAAGGGGGCAAATACTTTTTCACAACATTGTATTCAACATTATATATACAATATTTTGGACCTTTAGGGCCGACTCACACTATTCCCCAGAGCTGAATCACACAGGAATGTGCTGTGCGATCCTATGCGATTCATCTGCAGCTCTACATGGTGCAATTTCAAGCCCATTCATTTATTTGTATGTGTATTTACATGTATTTATATGGTATTCTATGTCCATATGTCTATATTACTTTTACCTGTTTTTTTTTTTTTTTAATCCAAACAACTTTTATTGTCAAGATAATAAAGAAAATGGAACAGTATTTACAGAATCCACAATGACATTACTGCATCAACAGGATTACACATGAAAAGAACAATGTGGAGACGCAGATCCCGTAATGAACAGAATAACAGAAATAGTAATCAAACAAAACAGAGACCACAAGGATCCAAAGCCTCCTTGCCAATGCCTTGCTTTTTCCATTTTACCTTTTATTCCTTCTCGTCTAGATGTATACATAAATGGGGGAAAGGAACAAAGCCCAAAACATGTCTTCAAACCATAATTAAATAAGAAAAACCTTTTACCTGTTTAATGTATGATTTGCAGGGCAATTTATTCCAAATATTGCAGAATATATGTGTGCAGCTCAACTATTTTTTTTTGTGATTGAGATGCCAAATCAGAGATGACACAACCATGTAAGGGCTTATTCACACTTTGGTCTCTGAAGAGAGATCCGCATTTGGATTGCCTTCAGAGATCATTTGCCAGGCGATGAGAAGGTGCTATATTGTCTGATTTAAACCCCACAGTAGCACCGTGCAACCGCATTACATTGCACTTGAATGGGTCGCACTTTGCAGTCACTAACCCCACTAAAAAGTGACAGGGGGTATAATTCCTGCCACAGGTGTGACATGTGTACACCTACATGTACTCCTGAAACCTCTGCAGCTAAAGGGGAAGCAATGGGCGGACTGACCATTTGGAACCTCACATGTTGGGCACTGCCCGAGGGGGGCTCGGGGTCAGTAGGGGGCCCCATGAGATGCCCCTGGTACCTTTTTCATAGGTTTTTTTGAGATAAGGCAAGGACACAGGGGCCCCATGATCCCCTATTGCCCGGGGGCCCCATGAGTTGTCAGTCCGCCCCTGAGGGGGAGAGTTTTGGGGTGGAAAACATGACACTCAGCCACAGAGTTTTACCACCCCTCAAATGCTAGTGTGAATGAATCCCAACTACTGGTGCCTGTGCAATTCTTAGGCTCTATGTACAAGGGACGTTTGAATGACACTCAGTCACGGAGTTTTACTGCCCTTCAAATGCTAGTGTGAATGAATCCCAATTATAGGTGCCTATGCAATTCTTAGGCTCCATGTAGGAAGGGCATTTGGAAAACTTCTGAACGATGGAAACTGACTGCTGGAAAAAGTAGGTTAAAAAACATCTGTTTAGCCGTCTTTGCATACCGCGTTTATGTGCATTTGCGTTTAGAAGCGTCTTTTTAAAGATAACCTCAGGAAACCTTCCAAAATGCCCAAAATGCACTGAAAAACAGTAAAAATGTAACTATTTCAGACACTTGGAGAGAAATAGAGAGAGAAGAAGCAGAGAGAGCAGTATTTGTTGAGATTAGCTGTCTTTTTTTTTTTTTTTTTGTGGTGTTTGGATGTGTTCCGCTCATTTCTGTGCAGAAATTATTGCAGCAGTGTCTAACATATTTTATTTCATGCGGAACCTCAAAGTATGGTGTACCCGGGTCCATTTGAGTACCGGAAAAATGCTTTGCATGCATGATGAAAAAAGGCTCTGGACAGCATCTGGAAAAAAAATTCAAACGCAAATGCTTATAAATGCTTAGCCGCGTTTACAAATGTTTGGCGTTTGAAACGCTGACAAAATCTACTCCTGAATACAAGTTTGGTGCGTTCAAAAAAATGACTGTAAACTCAACTGCCTGTAAATGATGATGTGTACATGGGACACATAGGAGAACATTAAGGGAGAGTTTAGGGACTGTTGAAAAAAGTGCAGAAAAGCTCCTAAACGTGAGTTTATCAGCTGCATCTGTACCTGGAGCCTTAGGCCTCATGTACACGGGTCACTTCTGAACAATGGAAACTGACTGCTGGAAAACGTAGGTTATAAAACATCTTAGTAATAAATGAGGGGGTGCAGTGCTAATAAAATTCCCAAGGATAATATATAAATAAAACAGTAAACTCATACATAAATAATTAATAAAGCAAATATGTATGCCACTAAAATAAGTGGTTTATATCGTAAAGAGATATGTAACCAATCAAATAAAATAAGTCCAAAAGTGACAATGTGAGTAAGATCCCAAATGGTCTTGAGGCGTCCAATGACTGGAACCGTAGATGAGGTGAGAAATATAGTAAAGATTGCGCACTCACCAGATACGCAATCTATATGCGCATTTGTATATCAAAGAAACATCAGATGCCCTCATATAGGTCTGGTAAGATCTGGTCATGTATCCTTCACTGCCTCATGATCCACACTCCGGGTTCGTACTCAAGGATGACCGCGTTTGCATAATGCTTTTATGCGCGTTTGCATTTAGAAGTGTTTTTTAAAGATAAGCACAGGAGAACCTCCTAATGCACTGAAAAGTGGTAAATTATTAACTAGTTTAGACTGTTTCAGAGAAATACAGAGAGTAGAAGCAGAGACAGCAGTATGTGGTGAAATTAGCTCATTAACATTTCTTTTGTTTCCAAGGGTGGGAAAGGTGTCTGGTGGAGGGAGTCATTAACTTCACCTGGCAGAGGGTCTTCATGAGGAATTTGAGGTGTGAATGGGCATAACATATCTTTTGTTTCCAAGGGTGGGAGAGGTCTGAGGTGTGAATTAGTCATTACAATGTGTGACAAGCTTGGTAGGAACATCCTGTGTTCAGTGTTTTGTACATTTGAGTACCTTGAAAATGCTGTTCATGCATTTTTCATGATGAAAAAAAGCTCTGGACAGCATCGGGAACTGGAAGAGTTAAAAAAAAAATTTCAGACGCAAATGCTTATAAGTGCGACTTGTCGTGTTTACACACGTTTACAAGCATTTGGCATTTGAAATGCTGATAAAATCGACTGCAGAATGCAAGTTTGGTGCGATAAAAAAAAAAATGCTGTAAACTCAACTGCCTGTAAATGATGATGTGTACATGGACACATAGGAAAACATTAGGGAGAGTTCTGGAGCTGCTGAAAAAAATGCAGAAAAGCTCCTAAATGTGAGTTTATCAGCCGCAGTGTAAATGAGCCTTATGCAGGCCATACATGTTTCGAATTCTGAATGATTTTTTGTCCGAAAATCGAAACGTAATTTGTTCTGTAATCCAATGGTGCCACCAATGATTTCGAAAATCAGTAGTTTTTCACGAATTTTCCAGCATGCCCGATAAACGAAATGGGGAGGAAACACGAAAATCGGCCGACGCCATCGCCACACTAACAGAGGAAAAATCAGCCGCTTATTCTTATGCAGGCCATAGATGAGTCGAATATCGGCCAATGGATTAATGGGTTAATTGGTCGGCCGTTTTTCAGGGGTTTTGGCACTTTTTTTATCGGTGCAGTTGGAAAAAAAATCGGCCGATTTCCCGGCAATGATGGGCAAATTGGCCGAATGTTTTACTGATAAAAAATCTGCGCATGAGCCATGACCTGCAAGAAGAAGAAAAAGAAGAAGAAGAGAAAAAGATGAAGAATAAGAAAAGAAGAAGAAAAAGAAGAAGAAGAAGAGGAAGTAGAAAAAGAAGAGGAAGTAGAAGAAGAAAATGAAGAAGCAGAAATAAAAGAAGAAGAAAAAGAGGAAGAAGAAGAAGGAGAAAAAGAAGAAGCAGAAGAAAAAGAAGAAGAAGAAGAAATGAAGAAGAAGAAGAAAAAGAAGAAGCAGAAGAAAAAGAGGAAGAAGAGAAGAAGAGAAGAAGAAGCAGAAGAAAAAGAAGAAAAAAGAAGAAGAAAAAATGAAGAAGAAGCAGAAGTAAAAAAAAGAAGAAGAAGAAAAAAAAGAAGAAGAAAAAGAGGAAGAAGAGAAGAAGAAGAGGTAGAAGAAGAAAAAGAAGAAGAAGAAGAAGAAGAAGAGGAAGAAAAAAGAAGAGGAAGAAGAAGAGGAAGAAGAAGAGGAAGAAGAAGCAGAAGAAGAAGAAGAAGAAAAAGAAGAAGAAAAAGAAGAGGAAGAAGAAGAAGTAGAAGAAGAAGAGAAAAGAAGAAGAAAAAGAAGAAGAAGAATTCCAGTCCGGTATTATATTTGACATGAAAAAATATTGCGGTGGCAACAATGTATCTATTTTTAATAAAAACATCTATATCCGAAATGGATACAAATAGATACATTGTTGCACTTGCAATACTTTTTCATGTCAAATATAATAGCAGAGCTCTCTGCAAGGGACAGAAGAATTAAATGCCGGCCGTAGACGGGACGAAAATCGGCCACTTTTTTTACCATTGGTGGTAACGTCGGCCTATTGAACGACCAATTTTTTTTTTTTTAAACAGTCGGTTTTTGACCCTTCTATGGCCTGCATTAGGTCCGATTTTTGTACGAAAATCGTTCGAAACATGAACCATGTGTTCCAAAACCTCTCACAAAGTAACAATGTTGCAATCTAATCTGGAAAGGAGGCAACTGAGAAAATGCCTCCTACTGCATGCAGCAGACTGATGATATCATCTCATCCGAGGCAAAGTCACTGCAGTGGAATTAAATGAGGGCTTTGTAATGAGAAAAGGGTGGAATCTTTTTGGAAAAATCTACTGTTTTTATGTATTGTGATATATAATGAATCTACTTATTCAGATTTGAAAAGCTACCAAAAGATCCATTTAAAGTAAAAGGCACTCAAGCAGAATAGCAGACTGGCTTTAAAAGTTGCTGTAGTTTCTTCACATTTGTCCTCACTGTTTTCTCAGTATAAATCAGGAAATTCTCTCAGTAAATCATTATATTTCCAGACTTCTCTCAAGCCCCTGTTCTTCCTGAATAAAAGCCATATGACATACTTGCCCAATATAGAACAATTACAGCAAGGATCCAAGCTCAACTCCGAGCAAAAACTTTATCGTTCAATTTCAGACACAGTAGGTAGAATTCATTAAAAAATACTGCTGGGGAGGTAATGGGCATTTCAGGCCAAATGGTCTTATACTCCAAGGTAATTTTTATAAACATGCTGATCGCAAGTTACATTTTAATAATCTAGTTGCAGACTTTGGATAGTTGGAGCCTCTACAGTCCAAAAGTTAACCTTTGAGGCACCACAAGGAAATGTAAACTTGTTACTGTGGACATGCTTTAAATGTTTTACATAAAATACTGAATTATGAAAACTGTAGAAGAATAATACATGGAAAATTATGTCTTTGTTTAAAATATATTATAAATGGCTACAGTTAAAAATTAAAATATATACAAGGTAGTGCAGCGCTAAAAAGGAAGAGGAATACAGATATGAAGTCCAAACGGATCAGCCAACAAATATATATCCCAATTAGAGGGAGTAATAATAAATAAATAAATAAATCGAAAAGTTCCAATAAAGTGACTTTGGTGAATCTGGACCTGACAATGGTGTTAAAGTGGTATAGGTAATGCGCACTCACCGGATGCGCATGTTAATTGCGCCTTATAAAGTTAATCCAGATGTCATCCAATGGGGCCTGGAGATGAATGCTCTTCCCTCTAAGGCAGGGGTGTGGCTACCTGTGGCTCTCCAGTTGTTGTGGAACTACATTTCCCATGAGGCATTGCAAAGATGGGAAGTTACTGACTTGCAGAGGCATGATGGAACTTGTAGTCCTGCAGCAGCTGGAGAGCCGCAGGTTGGCCACCCCTGCTCTAAAGGATGGGTCATCAGATGGGGAAACATGAAGCCGGTACTGGTATTTCTTGTCTTTTCCAGGAATAGTATAAAATCACCAGATATCTGCTAAAAGGGTAGCAGCCCGTCCTGGAGTGGTGGGTCTGAGGGTTTAAAGAGCTCCCCCAGGGGGTAGGAACAAGGATACTTCCATCGTGTAGTAGGTTTTAAACAGCTTTATTAATGATGCATCAAGATAGGTAGATAAAATGGCAGATAGTGATAATGACTAACCATCTGGCTTCAAAAATGGCCGCCGGAGCTCCACATTGCTACAGTTAAAAATTAACTTGGGTGTCTCATTCTGAATAAAATTTTTGTTGTTATTATTTGTACCAATTTATAAGGCTTCAGGGAGAAAAGGACCAAAGGCTGCTTCTGCGTTCTGCTATTGCCTGAGCATATCACCTTGACTGACGATGCTGCCAGATCCCTTCCTTCTATCACAGTACCCCTCCTAAACATTTTTTAACCACCCTAGCGGTCTGATTATGTCCATATTTCTGTGCTCAAAGTGGTACATTTTTTTGCATGGAAATATGTTTTTTTTTTTATTGTAGGCCTGTAATTTGTAGGAATAACTCACTGAAATCTGTCCGAACAAGAGTCTAGTAAACATCCCAGGTATGTAGGGGTGGACTGACAACTCATGGGGCCCCCGGGCAATAGGGGATCATGGGGCCCCTGTGTCCTTGCCCAAACTTAAAAAAGACGATGAAAAATGTACCAGGGGCATCTCATGGGGGCCCCCTACTGACTCCGGGCCCTCGGGCAGTGCCCGAGTTTCCAAATGGTTAGTCCGCCCCTGCATGTATGTTAAAATTTGAAACACGAAATCATACATTTTAATTTAATAAATAATCATAAAAAAAATAATAATATAATAATACATTTAATTCAATAATATAATCAAACCAAAACACTGAAATTTGAAATATAGCACCAAGTTCGCACATCACTGATCTTAGTCGCAGAATCGTTTTCAGTGTCTGATGATGAATTTCCCCCACGAATCATTATCACTCAATTCTGCAAGTGGTTCTGATTTACTATCGCTGTTCTCTAGCCGGTCTAAAACCGCTTTTGACCTAAAGGGACGCTTTTTGGACGCCATGGACGTTTCTCAGTTTCCAGGGAGAAAGAACAGTAAAAATGCAGACAGGGCGCCGGACAAAGCACTCGGGACAAAATGTATGTGAAATGGTTTGATACAGGAATGTTATACTATGTGATTTTAGTGTATTTAGTGAATGTCACTTTTTGTCATTTTCAAATTTGCTGCAGTTTCCTTCCCCCATATGTCCCGATGCTCGCAGGGGACGGAACCCAGAAGACAGATGCCGGCATCCGCCGGAGGACATTACAGGGGACACTGCAGGGGGGACATCGCGGGAGCGCAGGACAAGGTAAGTGTAGCTCGGGGTTACCGCTTGTGGTACTGAAACTTTACCCCAAGCTACACTCGGGAATACCTCTGGGGGGTTAAGTGGTTCTGGTTTTTGTCCCGATGTTTTTGACCCCATTGACTGTTGAGGCCTCCAGGAGCTTCTCAAGACATTCTTCACAATGCTGCATCATTTACCTATTTACCTTGCTGTAGTATATACAATTTTGCTGTCTGACTCCGATTCCCATTGACTTCAATTGGATATTGACCACTTCCAGTCCGGACACTTTCACCCCCCTTCCAGTCCAGGCCTATTTTCAGCTTTCAGCACTATCACATTTTGAATGACAATTGTGCGGTCATGCAACACTGTACCCATAGCAATTTTTTAGCATGTTTTGAGACAGATAAAACTTTATTTTGGTGGTATTTATTCACCGCTGGGATTTTTATTTTTTTTGCTATATAAATGAAAAAAGTGTTTTTCTTATAAAATTTTGCAAATAAATAATCTTTCTTGGCCAAAATTTGTTCCGTTATCTTTTTAGTAAACAAAAAAATAACTCAAATTAGTTTATAAACAAAAATTATAATTTTTCAAAATTGTTTTTACATTTTTATTTTATATTTTTATATTATTATTTATGTTTTTTTTACATACTGTCACCCTAGCAGTACAGTGTCACCATGCTGACACTGTACTACCTGTGGGGGGTTATGGAGATTTTTTTTTTTTTTACACTGATTGCTTTTGCACCCATAAAGGCTGTAAAAGCAATCATTTCTCCTTCTCTATGGCTGCATTTTTTGCAGCCATTGAGAAATACTGTGTGAGCTGTGATTGGTCACAGCTTGTCACATGGTACAAGACTGTTGTGATTAGCCCTGTACCATGCGATCTCTGTGATCATTCACAGATTTCACATGTAGTAAGCAATGATGTCAGAAGTGACATCTTACTTACTACTATTCATGTGATCACTGATTGGGACCTCACAAAGAGGTCCCGTACAACGATAGGTGTTCCACTGTGTCCGGAGGACACAGTGGGCACCAGATCGCAGTGCTGTGCGCTCCCAGGGAGCGTGCACAAGCAGGGGGCAGGGAGGCCATTTATAAACAGCCACCCGACCCTGCACTGCCATCGCCTGGCAGTTTATAAAAAGGGCTAGCTTCAGGCCCAGGCTCCTAGGTGTATCCCGACCATCTGATCGCGATCTTTCCTCAGCCTGGACTGGCTGAGTGATGTCAGCCAACAGTGGACTTTAGCCCCCTGTTGGCTGAAAACAGGTCACAGGAGTGCAGAATGAATTTCACTCCTGTGATCCACAGGAGAAGTACAGCCAAACTAGCTTTGGCTGTACTTCTCCTTTAAAGATGTAGTGCCAGTAAACTTCAGCACCAAGGACAGCACTTAATTAAAGTGTTTCTAAACCCACAACAGTACAATCAGTCTGTAGATGCAGTAAAGCATGCTTGTTATACTCACTGTGGGACCTAAGGGGTTAATCCTCTGCGTTGTGTAAAAAGGCCATTTGTTCCTTTCTTTTCTCCTCTTGTTCAAATGTCCACACCTTATCTCCTGTTAAGACAGGCTTAACCCATAGCCACATGCACATGCTCAGTTTAGTGTGCATTGCTAAAGATTTTTTTTTTCCTGGGAGAGTGCATGTTATCAGCACAGGGCCAGTCAGCACTGTCCAGACAGAGGTCAGGGGTTTTGCATCCTCCTAGAGCAGAAATAAACCTACAAGCTTTAACCAGTGCTCTGCTGAGGTCACAAAACTGCTCTAACTGCTGATGAGAAAAGGTATTTAGCAGTTTATATTTACTAAAATAATTGCATTTCCATGTTCTGTGTACTGTGGGAGACCATATATAGTGGATGCAGGGTCCGGGGAGAGTGGATATAGTGGATGCAGGGTCCGGGGAGACCAGATATAGTGGATGCAGGGTCCGGGGAGACCAGATATAGTGGATGCAGGGTCCTGGAAGATCAGATATAGTGAATTCAGGGTCCAGGAGACCAGATATAGTGGATGCAGGGTCCAGGGAGATCAGATATAGTGGATGCAGGGTCCTGGGAGATCAGATATAGTGAATGCAGGGTCCTGGGAGATCAGATATAGTGGATGCAGGGTCCAGGTAGATCAGATATAGTGAATGCAGGGTCCTGGGAGATCAGATATAGTGGATGCAGGGTCCGGGGAGATCAGATATAGTGGATGCAGGCTCCTGGGTTTAGTAACACTTTAAAGAATTATAACAAACGTCAGCACCATGGACAGTACCTAATCAATGAGCTATATCAGCCTGTCTCAACCAGAGGGTCCAGGCACCCTGGGGTGCCTTGAGGTTACTTCAGGTGTGCCTTGGCAAAATGTATAAAAATTACCCAAAACTTGTATACAAGCCAGCGGATGGAACAGGCCGACCTTTTAGTTACACAAAGTCAAAGGTTTTCATTGTGCACCACTACGATCTTCTACCCACCGGCGTCCTGACAATCAATTACATCATCAGTTGACAAGGAGGATGTCAGCTGTCTGCACAGCATCCCAGTTTGACCCTCTCCTTCCCCTCTCCATCAGTACTGATAGAGAAAAGGGAGAAGAGAAACACTGGAATACTAGTCAGTACCAATGTGCAAAAGTGTATTTGCTTTGGAAGAATAAATCACCTCTAATGTTGGGTGTCCCTATGTGTGTGGATGTTGCTGTGTTATATAAAACTGTTGGAATAGTTTTCACATTGTAGAATGGGGTGCCTCAAGATTGGCCATAATTTTAAAAGGTGTCTCGGGACTGGCCATAATTTTAAAGGGTGCTTTAAATGAAAAAAGGTTGATAAACACTGAGCTATATGAAGTTTCAGCACCATGGACAGTACCTAACCAATGAGCTATAAGAACTTTCAGCACCATGGACAGTACCTAACCAAGGAGTTATAAGAAACTTCAACACCCTGCACAGCACCTAATTAAAGACTTATAGGAAAGTCTTCAGCACCATGGACAGTACCATCTAGTTCATATAGGAAGCTTCAGCACCATGGACAGTACCATCTAATCAGTTATAGGAAGCTTCAGCACCATGGACAGTACCATCTAATCAGTTTATAGGAAGCTTCAGCACCATGGACGGTGCCAGCTAATCAGTTATAGGAAGCTTCAGCACCATGGACGGTGCCAGCTAATCAGTTATAGCAGCGGTTCTCAACCTGGGGGTCGCGACCCCTTTGGGGGTCGAACGACCATTTCCCAGGGGTCGCCTAAGACCATCGGAAAACACATATTTCCGATGGTCTTAGGAACCGAGACACCGCTGCTGTCTCCGGCGATGTGTGGGCGGGATGATATGCTGCCCCTGTCACCGCCTCCTCGCCGCTGATTGGCCACCGGAACTGTAGCTCAGGAGAGGCACACAGGCGGCCAATCACCAGCGAGAAGGTGGAGCTTGGAGAGGAGGAGCCGAGCGAGCGGCAGCGCGCGGAGATCGAAGAAGATCGAGGGAGCTGCAGGAACGAGTGAAGAGAGAGGCCAGAGAAGGAAGACAGCTGACAGGTAAGTGCAAATTTTGCTGCTGCAGCCAGGTATGCAGGCTGTAGATGGGAGAGGGAGAGAGCGAGCCCAGGCTGGAGCAGGAGTCAGCAAGGTAAGTATCATTGGTGTCAGTGGAAGGGATAGTGCCCCATCATTTGTGTCACTAATACCAACGATGGGGCACTAGTCCTCCCCCCCCACTGACACCAACGATGGGGCACTATTCCTCCCCTCACTGACACCAACGATGGGGCACTATTCCTCCCCTCACTGACACCAACGATGGGGCACTATTCCTCCCCTCACTGACACCAACGATGGGGCACTATTCCTCCCCCCACTGACACCAACGATGGGGCACTATTCCTCCCCCCACTGACACCAACGATGGGGCACTATTCCTCCCCCCACTGACACCAACGATGGGGCACTATTCCTCCTCCTACTGACACCAACGATGGGGCACTATTCCTCTCCCCCACTGACACCAACGATGGGGCACTATTCCTCCCCCCACTGACACCAACGATGGGGCACTATTCCCCCCCACTGACACCAACGATGGGGCACTATTCCTCCCCCCACTGACACCAACGATGGGGCACTATTCCTCCCCCCACTGACACCAACGATGGGGCACTATTCCTCCCCCCACTGACACCAACGATGGGGCACTATTCCTCCCCCCACTGACACCAACGATGGGGCACTATTCCTCCCCCCACTGACACCAATGATGGGGCACTATTCCTCCTCCCCCCACTGACACCAACGATGGGGCACTATTCCTCCCCCCACTGACACCAATGATGGGGCACTATTCCTCCCACTAACGCCAATGATGGGGCACTATTCCTCCCACTCATACCAATGATGGGGCACTATTCCTCCCACTGATACCAATGATGGGGCACTATTCCTCCCACTGACACCAATGATGGGGCACTATTCCTCCCACTCATACCAATGATGGGGCACTATTCCTCCCACTCATACCAATGATGGGGCACTATTCCTCCCACTCATACCAATGATGGGGCACTATTCCTCCCACTCATACCAATGATGGGGCACTATTCCTTCCACTGACACCAATGATGGGGCACTATTCCTCCCACTCATACCAATGATGGGGCACTATTCCTTCCACTGACACCAATGATGGGGCACTATTCCTCCCACTGATACTAATGATGGGGCACTATTTCTCCGACTGACACCAATGATGGGGCACTATTCCTCCCACTGACACCAATGATGGGGCACTATTCCTCCCACTGACACCAATGATGGGGCACTATTCCTCCCACTCATACCAATGATGGGGCACTATTCCTCCCACTGATACCAATGATGGGGCACTATTCCTCCCACTCATACCAATGATGGGGCACTATTCCTTCCACTGACACCAATGATGGGGCACTATTCCTCCCACTGATACTAATGATGGGGCACTATTCCTCCCACTGACCCCA